TCATTCTGTGTTATTCAATGTTATACTAGTTATACATTTGGTTTTTTGCTCAATTATTCTTTTTCAATCGAAGCTTTCTATCGATATTTGATTGTGATTTATCCTACTCGATTATTTTATCAATCAATAAAATTCCAAAGAATGGTTATTTGTCTGACATGGATATTAGGTATAATCTATCCACTTGTATTTCTCTTTACTAATAATATAGTTTATGATATTGACAATCAATTATGTCAAGTTCCACTTCGATTTTCATTCTCAATTATCTATTCTGCATTATTTAATTATCTTATTCCATTATCAATGACAATGTTTATTTATTTTCGATTAGTTCAAAATGTGAAAGAGATGAGTAAACGAGTAACATCAACATATATATTATCTCGTGCACAACGAGAATTAAAAATGGTTCAACAGACAATCTTTATTATGATATCCTTAGTTTTTCTTGGCATTCCCTATACAATATTTATTCTTATGTCATTTTTTAACGATGTACCTAAATATCATTTTCGAGTTGCTTATATATTTATCGATACTTCATTGATATTAATGATGATGATTTTATTTCAATTTAATGCACCATTAAAATCATCTACAATGAAAAGAATCAATCCACGAACAAATGTAGTTCTGGCTATGACAATACAAAATTAACAACATCTCAAATAAACATATGTCAAAAAAGAATGTTCTTTATGTTTTGTAACATTGTGTTCAGATAGGAAAATATTTATAAAAATCGATACAGAAGAATAATCTAAAGAAGTTGAACAGATATTTTCGGTTTCAATAGATCTTGTTGCAATTAGAGCGCATTCGCATAATTGAATGATATACATTGAATTAAATTGAGTAGAAAGTCGATGAAAAAAGGTTCGTTTTATAATGTCTTACAAAACTATAAAATAATGATTTAGAGATCAAATGTTGTGAATGAATGTGAGATTGGTAATGTCAACTAAAAACATGGTTCATTTGTAAACTGCACATATATATATAGAGGTAGAAAGCAGATCAATTTTGTGAATAATCGCTTTATTGAATCTTTTTTTCGTACAAAATGCTTTTCGATATTTTGTCCAACTTGATATCACTTTTACGTGTAGCAAGATTGATTAGACAAACAATCAAGCGATAGAGATGTACCAGTAAAAGAACACGTTTGATATGTATGAATAGTAAATAATTATCTGCCGCAAATGATAATCGATAGGAATATGATTTTATCATTGCAAAATATTATGTGGCACTTGCAAATATTTTGTTACAAGAATTTGACATTCGTCAGCCGATATTGATTGAATCTGTTTGAACAATGAAACAGCATGTTTATCGATCAGCTAATTTTCATCACGATGACAATTAATAACAAGTTGCTCATCATCCTCTCTACTCCATTTAAGTAAAATAGCAAATCAAGGTTGAAGTATTTTGATAGCATTCGCATATATATATATAAATGTAGATAGTTTTTCTTCACGTTCAAAACGGGTTCAATAGATCAGACGACGATGAATGAGAATTTCAATGAATCATGGTGAAAAACGAAGATTAGATATAGCATCAAATAAAAATAAAGGAAGCGCTTGACCATGTTTGCTCGTTATATATTGTAAATGATCTCTGAAACGATAATTTTTTTGTACCGTATAAGGTTTGCCAAAATAATTTCGAATATCAAAAACGAAATAGATTGGTAGATTAATGTATCCGCTGGTTTTAAATAAGAGTGAGTATCCATTCGGAGATGTTGCTTGATTAGCAAAAATAATTGTACAAATGATGTCTATGCTATTCATATTTCACGTCCATTGCATCGTATTCCAAAGGTTTCTGGTTTGACTTTTAAGATCAATATGCAACTAATCGAACTGTTGCACATACTGAGCTCACTTCTTACTGATTAATAATTTATGATTATTCAGTTGTGCATCATCGAAAACAACAAGAACATGTTGAGGGTGTCGGCGTGGGTGTAGGTTTTTAAAAATATCCATACCCTCAACGTGTGTGATTCTCTAAAACAAAAGTCAGGAAACATAGCTTCTACTTAAGACTTAGGGTCTAGACATCTAATAAATTCTACTGTAATAATCGTCGTAATATAAAGAAGGAAACGACGATGGGATGATGATGAAGTGTTTCATTTTTATAAAATAAAGGACGAAACAGATAGGAGATAAAAATCAGGAAAAAGGTAAAATAAATGATAGACGAAAAATAAGAACTTCAAAGAAAGGACTATTAATAATGTATACAATCAGCTGCGTCAACGAGTCATATCTATTGACGCTAGCAATTGTCTTTAACACATCTGTGGAAGGAACTTCACTAAATTACCCTTCTTTCAATAAGTCTTCATTCGTATGTCTTAAATTATGTTCATATACAGCTAATGCTTCAATTTTTTTACTTCTTTTGCTAAAATACAATTTCTAACATAAAGTATTTGGGAAAAACTCGTTACACATCCATCGTTTCTTGAATGGCTTCCGTTCTTAGACGACTGATTGATTTTTGTTTCAGATCATGTAAGAATTTAATATCAGCCTCGACAAGATATAGATTCGCTTTACAACAACCTTTGACACACAACAATATACTTTTTTTCATGAATTTATCAGTTAATTATGATGATATCAATAGATGATAATATAAGTGATACCAAGTTCAAGTAAGTGAGAAACAGTTTTGTCTTCCCAATCATCATAGACATCATTTTTTTTGTGATTATAAAATATTTCTTAATAATCATACTTCATTGTGAAATAATATAGATAACGTGAAATTTTATTATTTTTCAATCTCGATGATTTAGGTTGAATGGATAGTATTGCTAACAAAGACATCTTTTCAGGTACCCAAATATAAATGAATAAAAAAAAGAGAAACTTTGAGTTATTTGAGGATGGGATAGCTTTGTTATATTCACAACTACAGTCACCCACATCCACAGACATCCATATCTATACTCACGCCCTCAAGGTGGTTTCTTACAAGAATCTAATTGTAAGGAACTCGTCAGCACTTAATGAAAGGAACAGATCTAGCAAAAAATACTCTTGATTTTATGACTTCATAATAAAAATGCTGTTAACGCTCGTATAAAAAATCATAGATTGCAGCGAATGTTTCAACAGCCAGTTACGGTTCATAACGAACATACATATCTCCAACCAAAGGGCGAAGTTCCACGCGATTTATCCTGCTGGGCATTGAAACGACAAACTTCCAAGGAAAAGGACAAATGTTGAGATCTACCGGCAATATTACACGCGTTAAATCGAAATGATCTCCAGTGCACAATACAATATATCGTTCGTCACAGTGCAGCGTCAGGGTTATATTAGAGGACACTTGCCTTTTCGTGTCCCTAGCCATTTCTTTCTGCTGACCTGCGACGATGATGTCACCATAACCGTTAAAGCCATGAGCAGATGTGCATTGTAGCATTTTATTACTCACAATCGTCTCTGTTGAAGAAATAATACCAAAGCAGATGTCACCGGAGCACAGTGGGCAACTTTCGTCTGCCAGGCGGACATGTAGGTTTTTTCCTTGAAAACCGATTCCTATAGCTAAGAAATGATCATATATCACTTATAATACCATCTTAGATGAAATAAACCATGTTCGAAAAAAAAATTTTTTTTGTCTAAAAATGCCTGTGGGGGACCTCAGCTAAAATTTTCGAGAAAAATTTTTTGTCAAAAAGTACGTATTGTTGTATGTCATTCGATGCAGTTTTACGTGCTGATTTGAAATATCACCTTGGTTTTTTGCTAAGATGCTGTTTTAAAGCATAAAGGGGACATTACTTCTTTTTTAAGGTTTTCTTGGCGTACAGGTCGAAAAAAAATTCAAAAAAACGCTTTTTATTACATATGGTTAGATGCAGTTTTGTGAGCTGATTCCGAATATCACATTATTTTTGCGTCAAAATGTTCCCTTCGTCTCAAAACCAGCCATTCCGGGGCAGAAATCTGGGTTTTTGGGAGACTCATAGCACCGGCTAAGCTCATCCCTGCGAAGTCGCGCTATGGTCATCAATGAATCATACATGGAAGAATAATTAGTGAAAGTTTGAGAGCGATCGCACTTAAACTCTTTGTAGGGTTTGAAAAATACGAAAAGGGTGTTTTTTAAAACCTTGTTGGTCCCTAGGGACCCACTTTTTTTTTGAGAAATACTACTTGTTATAGATGGTTAGATGCAGTTTAATGAGCTGATTCCGAATATCACATTGGTTTTGCGTCAAAATGTTCCCTTCATCTCAAAACTAGCCATTCCGGGGCAGAAACCTGGGTTTTTGGGGACCTCGAACTCGGCCTGTGTTCACTAATGCAACTTCGCGCTATGATCAACGATAAACCACCCAAAGGAGAATGGATGGTAAAATTTTGAGCTCAATCGAGCGAGAATTCTTTGTAGGGTTCACAAAATACGGTCTGACCTATTTTTTAACATAGTATTGGCCCAACAATAATTTTTTTGTATTCCATTTTTGGTTCAATCCAAATAATTTTTTAATGCAATATAGCTTATGGGTCAATCATTCGTTTCAGATAGTTTTTCTTTTTAAAATGTTTTGATAAGTTCAGAAAAATAATGGTTTCCGTAAAATTACCGATTTATGAGCAATTTTTGAGTATGGGCATTTTTAGGGGTATGACTTAATTTCTGGAAATTTAGTTTTAGGGTAAAATAGACTAACCATAGACGTATTCATTCCATTATTTGAACTTTGGAAAATAGAACTTTCGGTCATGTCCGCCTGGTTGCCCACTGTGCGGAGCCTTGCAGGATTCGAAAGCGAAGTGGGTGTGTTCCTGTTAAGTATAAGTTATTACCGAAAACACTTGCTGGATTATTTTGAGAAAAATCTCTATTGCTTGCCGTCAGTCCCTGTTTGTCAATCTCAGCTATACCCACTAAACTGGTAAACACTTCGCCGCTGGCGCTACCAATCCACCACCATGGATAAATTCGAGGAGTTACTCGTATAAAAGATAAAGCGGTATTCGTATCGTCGTTTACTAGTTCAATGTTCGGCGATAGAAGCTCGTTCCTTATCGTTTTAAAGGCCTTATTCCATCTCAGGATGTCATTTTCCTTATATTGATCTGTTTCAAGAAGAGAGTTGAACTCTTGGGATAGTTCATGGAATGCTGGCTGTAAACGATCACCAGTACTTTTTACGAGTTCTTGAACATCATCACGTGCTTTCTGAGCAGCAGCTTGAATTTTTTCAATCGACTCTTTTTCGCACTTGTCGATTTGCATCATGAATGGATGTTGCTCGGGAGACGACTCCTCGAATTTTGACTTTACCTGTTCATAAATTTTATTAGTTGACGCAAACCATCCGTCATTAAAATTCTTATGCTCAGTCAAATGTTTAAAACAGTACGATTCTTCACAGCGATCTCATGTATATGTACCTCCATCTTTTCCTTGACACACCGAGCACGATCTTGCCTTTTGAGACGAAGTAGAAGTCATAACGTGACTACCGTTTTTGCACTATTATGCGACGCTCGATTTTGTAGATCTAAAAACAAAAAATAGTGAACTAAGTTTTATAGCACCGAAGTCTGTCCTCTTTGTCACTTCTTTCAACCTTAAGATCTCTTCCTTCAGAAATCAGGCTTTTC